ATTGTTTTCAAAAATAACTATGCTGGATCCAATATATTTTGAATAAACAACTTTTAGAGATCACTACTCATGATCCACTTAGATATTTGGGCATCTGAAATTTTATCTTAAAAACACAGAGGTTTAAAAAAAGTAGCAAAAATGCTCATATTACCCAGACCACTTGGTAATATAAGCACTTTAAATTAGCAAAAAAATAACATAAGGTAAAAAAATACCAACCTGACAATTAAAACTAACTTTTGGAATATAATGATTCGTTTTTAAAAAACTTATCATTAAAAGATCAAACTTCAAGCAACTTTTTATTGAAACAATACTACTTTGTTTTACGCAAATTAAAAAAAAAAAAGTTTTTTATTTTTCAATTTTATTAAATCAAACCTTTGAACAAAAAAAATTCAAAATTTTTGAATTTAAATTACAGAATATTTAGTATTGTTATAATTTTAATAATTTATAGAATAAATTTTTCCAAAGCTAATTAGTTTTTTTGGTTATATCAATTAGTGAATGAGCTGTTGAATGATACTTTTTCCAGAGAATTGTGTCTATTGTGTCTTTTTCCAGAGAATTGTGTCTATTGTGTCTATTGTGAGTTTATTGTGTATAGCATTCTCAAATAGTTTGCTTATATTTGAGGGAGAAGAGAAATAATTTGAGTAATCAAGTAGAGAATCTTTTCATCTATTGGTCTCACTTTACCTACTTGAGCTTATCTTAGAAAATTCCATTTCTAAATGATTCATCATTATGGAGAGTGGTTTTGAGATTATATTTGAAATAAGCTTAAGAATGAAAGCGGGATTGGTTGTTTTGGGCCCAGACTTTTTTTATTTTAAAGATTTGTTTAGAGATCTGACACCTCAATTTCAGTCACTGACTCATAGAAGAACTTTTGTTAGGATTTTTTAATGTTATAAGATTTTTTTAATTAATAAGATAAAATAATAATTTATAATTGCAATACTCCCCAACTTTTTCTACTTTCATCTCTACTCTTATCTCCTAAAACTAACAAGTCCCTATATGCTGATACCAAATCATATGCATTTTTACATTTTACATGCATAAACCACCTTATACTTTACACAACGTGACAGGTACTGTTGTTACTTTCAATCTTTGCCCAAAATTTTGCTGTTGAAATTATTATATAAAAAATTTGAGAATAGTTGTGGTAATGTATTAAATTTGTATTTGTTTAAAAAAAAGTTTTAATAATAATTTAATAAAGGATGATTTTGACTTTTTAAACTTGTAAACTAAGCAATATAACTTAACTTACAAGCAAATCAACTCGACTTTATGTATTCAAATTTCATGAACTATAATACAATGAACAAACTACAACACAGTCATCAAACTGCAATTAAGTCATTGAACTACAACACAGTCATCAAACAACAATACATTCAATTTTAAGAATTTAGAAGTTTAAAAAGTTTAAAAAGTTTTACTAACCCAGAAAAACATATGATCCAAAAAACTGACAGACTTATATGGAATGTTAAGCTCATTTTTTTTTAAACAAAATCTCTCCTAGAAAGGTTGCAAGAAAATATCAAGTTAAGAGTTAACAGAAAACAATGTAACCAAACTTCATGGAAAAAATCCAGATAAATAAAAACTTTATGAGTCAGGAAAACATAAAGACTTAAGAGATGTTCAAAACACCAAATTTCTTGGAAAAAAATTTTGATAAATGAAAAAAACTATGAGCATGAAGAGACAAGTACATTAGAAGTATGTAAACTTGTTGAATGATGAGTCATACTAGATCTAGTCTTGGTAGATAGAGAAAGTGATGAAAACTCTTTTGAGGATCGACCATGGTAATATTCATACTGTAGCAGCTAATGCAGTTCCAAAAATGTTTGCAATGCATTTTTGGACCTTGTCTAAAAGAGACGAATTATCATCATTAGAAGACAACAATATTTTAAACAAGGACAAATAAGAGCTTTATAGAGCTAGAGAAAGGAATAAGGAGTAGGTTAATGGGAAAAACAATAAAGAGAAGCTACCTTAGCAGATGGAAACTTTGCTATAAATTGTATATATGCTTTTAATGGGAAGTCAGTAGTGAGCAATAATCCAAGAAGACAACAATTCCAAGCTTTCTTGCCACATTAAAGAAATAAGATTCAAAATCGGCAGCCAGTTTTAAACACTCAAAAAGCAATGACTTTTTGTAAAGCATGGAGTATGTAGTTGAGTGGTCAACCACTTTCAAAGTAAGATTATTAAAAAAACTCATTACTAGATCAACACAGGACTAAGGATGGAACCTTGTGGTACCACAGAGGGTACTGGTAATAAAAGAGAAAACCACAATTATAGTGAGGCTTGACTTAAAATCAACAAAAAAGAATAAAAGCTTTTGTGCTAGCCTGAATTAAAGATATTATAAATGAAACACAATTTTAAAGGCAAAGAGATGCTAGACATTAGACTGTAAAAAATCTTGAAAAAATCCCAATCAGCCTTGGGGTAGTAGCAAAAAGTGCAATAATAAGGAGCAAAAATAGAAGAAATACCAGATAAAGGTTTTTAGTGAGATCATAGCATGAACTTAACCAGCATGAGATACAAGCTTCTGACATAAAACAATGTAGCACAGCTTTACATCTGTGTTAGCATATTATATGAAGAAGTGGTGTAGCTAATCAAAATAAATTTTCTGCTTACCCCTTGAGCCTTTGCCTTAGAAATCTTCTAAAAGACAGTAGCAGGGTGATCATTATGATTTTAATCCTGACTTGAAACTTAACAACCTAATGAATTTTTTATAGGTGTTAAATATTTTAGAGAACTTTATACATAAGACTAACCTACTACCTTTTGCGAAGGAAAATGCAGTACAAAAGCAAATTTGAAGTTTGAAGGCATTCTTTAACACAAAAATGAGTTGGTCATCTTGTTTCAGTTTTTGCCTATTTTTTTTTTATTTTTATTTATTTTCATTCACTCCCAACAAGGCTGCAAGCAACCACTATTAAGTTGGGAGTTAGTAGGAAAAAAAAGAACAGAGTTATAGAGCAAGGAAACTGTTGACAGAAGACTTGAAAAGTTGAAGGTTGTATGAGTCAGGAAAACATGAAGATGGGAGAGAGTTTTAAAGGATTGAAAAGCGGGGAAAAAAACTAGATGAATGAAAGTTTTTAGAGCATGCAGGGACAGATACAGTAAACAAATGAGACTTAGCTGAATGACAAGTAAAATGAGAATGAATTTTAGTTGATGGAATTAGAGATAATAACTCCTTTGAGCAGTGACCATGATAGTATTTGTAGAAAAGAGAAAGAAAAGCAACTTTATGATGATGGGAAAGAGGCTCAAGCTTAGCAGATAGTCCAGGTCCAACAACATTTACAATGCGTTTTTGGACCTTGTCAAGTAGAGAAAGTGAATCGTTAGAAGAACTAGCCCAAATATGACAACAGTATTCCATACAGGGACGAGTAAGAGATTTGTAGAGGTAGAGAATGGAATCAGAAGTAAGGAAATGACGATCACGATAAAGAGAAGCAACCTTAGCAGAAGCTAATTTAGCAATCGATTGTATATATGGTTACCATGAAAGGTCAGTAGTAAATGATAATCCAAGAAGACGTTAAGAGGAGGACTCAGTAAGAGGATTGCCATTCATTAATATAGGAATGTTGACCATATTATGGTAGTTGTTTGCAGTAGACAACTGGGTTTTGTTAGAGTTGAAATTCACAAGCCACTGTGAACCCCAGTCTATTACTAAAGTGAGATCGGGTTCAAGATCAGCTGCTTGTTCTAGGCGATTGAAAAGAGAAGACTTTTTGTCAAGACAGGAGTATAAAGTTGAGTCATCAGCAAAAAGAGCTACTTTAGATGAAAGGTTGTCAGAAAGATCGTTTATGTATATAAGAAACAAAACAGGGCCCAGGATGGAACCTTGGGGAACCCCAAAAGTTACTGGAAATAAAGAAGATTGTTGGCCTTCAAGGATGACTTTAATAAACCGGTTAGAAAGAAATGATTTGATAATCTCAAAAACTTTCCCAGAAACACTATATGAAGCAAGCTTATGGAGAAGACCAACATGCCAAACTTTGTCGAATGCTTTAGATATGTTGAGAGCAATAGCCCTAGCCTTAACGCCTCCATCTAATGAACGATAAAATCTTTCAGTTTCAGCAGTTAGCAAGTCGGCTGTAGAGTGAGAGGATTGAAAACCGTATTGATTGTCTGACAGTAGTTTAATTGACTCAAGATGAGATGTGAGGAATTTGTTGATCAAAGACTCAAAGACCTTGCTAATAACAGAAAGAAGACTGATCGGACGATAATTGGAGGGGTCAGAATTTTCTCCAGAGTTTTTGAATATTGGAACCACAGATGCCATTTTCCAACAAGCAGGAAAACAAGACTCAGTCAAACACTTGTTAAATAGTTTAGAGAGAATTGAAGAAAGTTCTGGAGAACAATTCTGCAAGACTGTGACAGGAATGTTGTCTGGACCACAAGCTGTAGACGAGTTTAATTGAGAACAACTTTAGCAACAAAAGCACCTTTTTACATCGATTTCTTGCAATAATAAATAGTCAATTGTTCTCAAGAGAGTTGTACTTTTGAAAAAGATGAAAAAAATGATTACGATTGGATATAACAGCCGCACAAGAAGGAGAAAACCATGGAGTAGAATGAGGCTTGACTTGAAATTTTATTTAAACAATGTGAATTATTACTATTTTATTTAAACAATGTGAATATTGTTTTAATCTTTAATCAGGTAATTGCTAAAAACTATTTTAAAAATGCTATCATTAATATGATGATAAAATCATTTTATTTTATTTTTTTCCTTTAAAGTAAATAAGGTGAGCCAAGAAAACTATAGAATCATTGTAAAAGAACATTAAATTTTTCCAACAGCCGTTTGATATGATCTTTAAGAATTCAAAATTAATTTTACAACATAAATTTATAAAAATTTGTTATAAAAAAAAAAAAAAAAAAGAAACCTTCACATTCAGGAACATATTCTGGAACCCAACCATCACGAGTGCAATGAGATTGAGTGTTACCTTTGTTGATTTTGTAGCCAGCAACACATGAAAACTGAATTGATGAAGATAATGAATACTTGTTGGACTGAACTTTACCTGTTATAAGCTTAAATATTCCATGTGCATAAAGAATGGGAGCTTCACAGACTCCTGTTAAAGAAAGGAAAAATTTTGTAAACCTTCAAAATGTTCAAGAAATATCATAAATATAAAAGAAATATCATAAATGTTCAAGAAATATCATAAATAATAAAAATTTGTAAAGTTATTCTGTGAGGTTTAAAGATAATCTGAAGTGAGGTTTAAAGATAATCTGAAAACATTTAAATTTACTTATATCAGATAAATACCAGTCCTAAAAATCTTATTTAAATCATTTTTAATGTTGAACACCATTTTAAATGTTAAATGTCCTTTAAAAAAACAAGAACTTAATTTGGTGTACAACGTTTTGTTCATAAAAATAACCTTATGCCACACTGTGTCCATAAAATCTGTAAAATCAAATAAAGTGCATTAAATTTCTCCAAATCAAAATGCAGGACTTCTTTTAAGAAGTATGCTGGTGCACGCCTTATAGGACCCTGCATATAATATTTTGTTTTGACAACTTGGTCACGGCTCTTTGCAAGTTTTGATAATTAGCGCTTTTAAAAAATGTGCTGAAAAAACCTAAGTACATTTAAGAAAAATAAAAACTAATTAAAAAAAAAAAAATCTAAACAAATGATAAAACAAATAAAAGATAAACCAGAATAAATAAAAGGTTGTCTTTTTATTAATTTAAAATTTTTTTACTTTATAAAAAGAAAAAAAGATTTTAAAGTTATCTAATCCAGGCTTAATTACAATGAAACTTATTTAAAAGTTTATAACTTGAATATTTTCTAATGTCTACTAAGCAAATGAAACATCAAAAAAATTGGACTGTTAATATTGGACAATTAACATTTTGAGATCAATTTAAGCAGTATGCAGCACACAAAGTTTAGGTTTACTAACACTAATCTCAGGCATCAATCCTTAAATATGATGCACCTTTACTTAAGCAACCCCGGTAAATATAATTTAGAGTACAATTGTGTTCCAACAGTCATGTTGGTTTACACTTTTCATAACAAGGTGAAATTTTCAATTCAGCAAAATATTTAAAAGAATTTAAATTCTCCTGATTTAAACAACCTCAAAAAATGTGAGAAAATACATGATGGTGTCATAAAATGTTGATGTGAGAAAATCCATGATGAGTGGTGTCATAAAATGTTGATCTGAGAAAATCCATGATAAGAGGTGTCATAAAAAAAATACCACATAAAGGTATTTTGACCACCAACAAACAAAACTTAACTTTTTAAAAAAAACAACAACAGTACTCTGGATATGACGGTAACAACAAAGTAGAAAAATATGAGTATAAGTATAAATCACAAACATTTAGATTTAACCACACAATAATTATATCAAACCAGACACAAAAAATAGCACAAAATTTCATTTAAATGTAATGGTAATTTAAGTAACAAAACTTAACAAGTATTTAAAAAAATAAAAAAAATGATGCAAAGATGTAATTAATTAAAACCTAAATTTATTAACGCTCCAAATTAAATCAAAACTATTTAACAGTCTATTTTACAACAGTCAATCTACATAAAAAAATAAACCTATTATAAAGTGGTGAATAAGATACAGGTAAGTAAGAAGTGACACAGGTAAGTAAGTGGTGAAGAGGAAACAGGCAAGTAAGAAGTAAGTGACACAGGTAAGTAGGGGGTGAATTTTAGGTGTGGTCTTACACAGGTAAGAAGCATTAACATCAATTGAGCATTGAAAAAAAAAATCAGTAACCTTTATCTCCACATAAAACATTTTGCATAAGCAACATTATTTGAAAAAAACTATAGCATTAAAAGTAAAAAATAAAATGTTTTTTTAAAAAAAAAAGTTTGGAGACCTTTTATTAAAATATTATAACATTTAAAATATTATAACATTTAATGCGCTCATAATGCAGTTAGACACCTGTAATTAAAAACTTTAAAAAAAAAAAAAAAAAATCTTAGTATTAAAAAACCCACATTTTCTGATGTTTTTTAAATAATCTAAATAACATACCCGTATATACATATAAGTAATTTATATCTATACAAATACACGCTCACATTAAATGTCATCCTTCAAATCAAAGTTAAAACGCGCATTTTCAGCATTTTAAAATTTTTTGAGTTTTTACGGGCATTTTCAAACAATCGACGCAAATAGAAGTTTACAAATCATTAACTATATAATAATGTCATTACAAGTAATGGAAGGCTTTTTATCTATACCAAGTGTGCGCATTTTTATTACTATTATTTTTGTTAACTAGTGGTATTTTAAAAACACACAAAATCGTTATGAAATTAAAAAAACGTGGTTTTTAAACACCATAGCGTTGAGGCCCAATGCACAGCAATTAGAAATTTGTTAGATGTTTTTTATCTCATACAGTTTACTCACTTCAAGCTCTGGCTGTTTAAAACGAGTTTGTACAAAGTTAGCTAAGTTTTCTGGTTGACCATTATTCTTGTTAACCTCCTTTCATCATGTCGGAGAGCTTCATATAGCTATAGCCGTAAATTAAACTGTAAAACTGGGAAATAAACTATTTATGTCATATAAGCATAAAGGTTAAAAATAGTATAGTAAAGATAAAACAGCTTCACTTTAAAATATCTTTTCGCAAAACAAAATGAATAAGTTTCTTATTTTAAAATTATTTACATATAGACTTGAGAAGAGAAAAGATTATTGTGAACTTACGGAAAAAAAAAGACCATTAGGTGAAATTAAAAAAAAATGAAGCTGTTTCACACGCCTTTCATTTTTAAGAAAATGCAACTTGAATTTCATGAAACTCAAGTTGCATTTCTCAAAAATCAGGCAGCTTTTTATTCATAGTAATAAAGTACTCAAAGAGATCAATAGAGTGGCTGATAAATTTCTCTCTCTAGGGAATCGCAGTTTTTGACCTGCAACTTTTTTGATTCTGCAATTTTTAAAATAAAACTTTATTTCATAAGTTTCAATATTTTAGTCTTATTACTTAAGAATAATTTGTCATAACGTAACAAATTGTTTAAAATCAATAATTTAAAATCACATGTAAAATACAAAGAAAATAACTCTAAACCAATTTTTTTTTCTAATGACAGACTTTTTTTAAAATCAATAGAAATATAATAAAAATGAAATTAATAGAAATAGCTTTTTCATTTTATCTTGTTAAAATAAATGTAATAAGTATTTAGTAATGTAATTTTAAACTAGGGCCCTGAAAATCACTTTTTTTAGTATTAAATAGAATCATGAGTTAAAGGAGACGTTAATTTGCAAATCGAATCGAATCTTGAATCAAATCAGCATTTTGAGGATATTATTGTTTTAGTTAAACTTAGATTTCCTCAAAATGCTGATAAATTGAATTTTGATCTAATATCTAATTGTAAACTCTTAACTTTAAAAATACATTTAAAAATTATTTTTTTTACATATTTTCTTGAGATATTTGTCTATAGCTAAAAATTTATATGTATATGAATATTTATTGCACATTTGCAGCATTAAAACGCTGAATTCTGAAGCAAACTTGCTTCAGAAATAAAAGATCTATGGCAGTGATGAATTTGCCTTTTTTTGTTGTTTGAGATATTACTTAAAATATTTGTATGTTTATACTTATGTCAAATAATGGTGCTTTTTAAAAAGTTACAATAATTGAAGGCTGGGAACAAAAAAAGCCCGAAAATATAATCCCTTTGCTTTAAACATAAAAGTAACAAGTTGATGAAATAATTTTTATTGCTATTCTTAACTAAATTTATATTCATTGATAAGTTTTAAGCATTGTTTTACTATCTCTAAGGGTTCAAAAATTATGACTATATAAAATTTGTAAACCCCTCAAAGTGAGGGGGGTTTAAACTTTATATAGTTATAATTTATGAACTCTGAGAGATATTTCTATGAAACTTAAATTTTATCAATTAATATAAACAAAATTAGGAATTTCAAAAAAATTATTTAACTAACTTGTTGCTCTCATGTTTGGGGCAGGGTGAACGAAATTTTAGGGCTTTTTTAGTTTCCAGCCTCCAATCATCACAATATTTTACAAAGCATCATTATTTTATATAAGTATAAACATACAAATGTTTTGAGTTTGTGCCATGTTTGTTAGCTATTTCAAACACTAAAAAATGCTGGATCCTTCACTGATCTGTGGTTCAATGCCTACTTTAGGCATTTTTTCAACATGAAGGAAGCTTAAACTTCCAAGTTAAAAGCTCCTCTGCGGTGCTCTGTAATGCGACAATTAGGTCTATATGTGTAAATGTATATGTCAAAATGTATATGTATATGTAAATGTATATGTATATGTATATGTAATGTATATGTCAAAATTAGGTCTATATGTGTAAATCTATATGTCAAAATGTGTATATATATTTTTGAATGACATTGATATGTTTTGATCTAGTTTAGTTTACAACAAAAGATCAAAAACTGTTTACCCAATCTTTCAAGGAAACCATTTTGAATTTGAATTTGTTTGATCCAAGGCTACAGTAATAAACATTTGTATGTATTTAGATAAAAAACATTATTTGATAACAGAATCAGGCAAAAGTTATAAAGATTGTTGTATGACTGGAAAAAATCCTGAAGGTCAACAAAAAATCACTTTACAGTAGCCAAAGAGTTAATTTATCTACCGTAATTAGTAAGATGGGGACAAATATTTCTTAAATAATTCAACACTGTTTTTTTTGGTACAGCAACACATAGAGAAAACATTGTTGAACAAATTAAGTGGATTTGATTTCAAAATCTATTGGAGCCAATGCTTAAAAATTGCCTTAAATTTAGTCAAAAATCACAAAAAGTGAATATTTAAACAAATGGCGCGAATACTTCTTTCAAGAAAAAAGAAAAAGAAATTTTTTTTAAATATAAATATGACCTCTGCGCCACTCATTAGCCACTCCGCATAAAAATTGGTTGTTGAAAAAAAAATTATGGGATGGGCTAATATATATATATATATATATATATATATATATATATATATATATATATATATATATATATATATATACATAAATAAATATACATATATATATATATATATATATATATATATATATATATATATATATATATATATATATATATATATATATATATATATATATATATATATATATATATATATATATATATATATATATATATCTATATACTTAAATATATATATATATATATATATATATATATATATATATATATATATATATATATATATATATATATATATATATATATTATTCTCAGGGGCAAATCCAGACCTATTTTAGTACAGCTGGAGTGGTATGGGCGCCCAAAAAAAAATGTCCAAAAATTATTTTATTTTTTAACTTTTATTTTGCTTATTTATTAAATATAGAAGGAAAAAAGTTCGGATTTAAATGCAGTAATTTTTTTTTTTCAATGTCTTTGCTTCCAACAAGGCTGCAAGCAACCATTATTACAGTAGAAAGTTACTGGAAGAGAAAAGACAAAGTTTATAGAGCAAGATAACAATTGACAGACAACTTAAAGGATTGGAAATTATATGAATAAGGAAAGCAACATGAAGGAAGCAAATTTCTAAAAACTGATATTCGAGGAAAAAAACTAGACGAATAAGAGTTTTTAGAGCACTTAGAGTCACAGAAAAAGGGTGAGACTTAACTGAATGACGAGTAACACGAGAATGAATTTTAGTAGATAGTAAAAGAGATGCTAGAGCAGTGCTCGTTATAATATTTGTAGAAAAGAAAAAGAGAAACAACATTACGATGATGTGATTATGGTTGGAGGTTAGCTGCAAGAGCAAGTCCAACTATAATTTGAATATTTTTTTGCTCCTTATCTAAAAGATAAAGAGCATCATTAGAAGATCTGCCCCAGATATGGGAACATTCAATACAAAGACACATTTGAGATTTGTGATAAAGAGTGATAAAGAATAGAATCTGGAGTAAGAAAGTAGCAAGCACGATAAAAAGATGCAACCTTAGCAGATGCTAATTTTGCATTGGATTTGACCAAGATGGATCGGAATTAAGAGTTTATCCTATAAGATGAAGGGTAGATAACTCGTCAAGTACATCACCATTTATAAATATAGGAAGATCTAAATTATTGCAGTCACAACTGGCTGAAAAAAACTGGGTTTTATCTGAACTAAAGTTCACCATCCACTGTGAACCCATGCTGTAGCAGAATTATGATCCTTTTCTAGCTTAAATGCCCCTCCAAGCAATCAAAGAGCAATGGCTTCTTATCAAGACAAGAATAAATGGTAGTATCATCAGCAAATAATGTAACTTTAGATGTGAGAATATCTAGAATACTGTTAATGTAAATTAAAAAAAGTATAGGGCCAAGGATAGAACCTTGAGGAACCCCTGAGTTTACAGGATATGAAGAAGAGTACTTTTATACTACGATTGGAAAGGAAGGATTCAATTATCTTTAAGATGTTACCTGATAAAAGAATAATTGGTTGTTAATTGAAAATTCAAAAACCTTGCTTATGAAAGAAAGAAGACTAATGGGACGGTAATTAAAAGAGTCAGATTGCTCTCCAGAATTTTTGAAAACATTTCTGCAAGACTATAACAGGTATGTTGTCTATATCACAAGCTGTAACCTAAGTAGAAAATCACTTTAGATAAAGAAGCTCAAGTGATGCGAATGTCAAGCAATTGATCAACCTATTTTTTGATTATATCAGGGAAAATGCAACTAGTGGAATCAAGAGATGATGTCAATGAAAAGTTCTTAGCAAACAATGACATTCTGACTAGGTGACAAATTCTGAACCATGAGAGGTGGAATAAGAGATTTGCCCTTATTATAGATACTGTTAATGATTCTCCATAAGTAATGAGAACCTTATTTTTAAGATGAAATACGAGATTTCATAACCTGAGATTAACAGGCTTTGGCATTTGACAAAACTTTTTTACAATGGTTTTTAGCAATAGTAAACAGACATTTTTTTTCTAGAGAAACGTTTTAACGTGGAAAAAATGAGAATTGACAAAGACAAAATATTTCTACCCAAGGGCCATCGCAAGAAAATTACCAAAAGATTCAGAGAAATTGAGAACTTACTGATCAGAAACAAGTTATAAGTTGAGTAGAGAAGGTAAATGATTTCAATTGTCTGGAAAGCGAGTTAGAAAGTTGATTATTTGAGTAAGAAATTGAGAAAGGCAAAAGTTGTGGGCCTTAAAGCCAGCAGAGTCACTGACACTAGAGTCATTCAGTGTTAAGAGCATTGAATTCACCAACAACAACGATATTGGCTGATAGATATAGACAAAGAACTTGGTCAATTTGATCAGAAATAACATTAAAAAGTGTCTTGAGAAAAAGAAGAACAATACAGAACAAAGACAAAAGCAATAGTGAAGTTGAGACGTTTAAAACTACAATAAAAGTAGTTTCCTTGACTATAATGACTTTATGGTCTTGTTTGGTTAGTTAAAAGGATATTTTGTTTAAAAAAACATTTATATATTATTTACAAAACATCAAAAAATATGATTTCTTTCAATAATTTTTTATTTCAAAAACCGTTGATTAATTATAAGTATAAAGTAACTACAGATCCATAAGGTATCTCCTACGCCTAAAAGGTATCTCCTACCTCTAAAAGGTATCTCCTACGTCTAAAAAAAAAAGTAAAACAGTTACTATTTTTTTTAGCTGTAAAAAGAAAATCATGATATCTTATGAGGTACAATCTTGCACAATATCTTTAAAAAAAAGAACAAATATACCTACTTTCAGTGCAATTCACTCCATCATAAAAATGATCACATTGACATCTGTACTCATCATTTTCATATTTTTTACATTGACCATGATTACCACATACATTATTACAATGATCTAAATATATATTTATCAAATAATAGGGTTTGTAAAGAGTCAACGGAAAGCATTAATGTAATTACAAATACATATAAAATTAAACATTTTTTGAATTACCACAGAAACACAAATTGAATGAGTTGAAAATTTTTTATCTTATCTTTTTATGTTTTATACTGTTTTTATTATTCAATTTAATTTTTTTTATTTTACTATTTTATATTTTTGTTTTATTGACTGATTGTTTCAGAGATTATTGCAGTTTTATTGACTGATTGGTTCAGAGATTATTACAGTTTTATTGACTGATTGGTTCAGAGATTATTGCAGAGTGAACTTCATACTGTATACATACACAGCAAAATGTATATACTTCATACTGCATACATACATAGCAGAGTTTATATACTTCATAGTGCATACATACGCAGCAGAGTTTATATACTTCATAGTGCATACATATGTAGCAGAGTTTATATACTTTAACTGACTTAAATAGGGAGAACATGAGTTCAAAAAATAAAAAAATCATTATTTTATTAAAAAAAGAAAATTAATAAAAATTATAATTAAAAAATTTTCTAAAAATAGAAATTTGCAAATATTTCAAAAATCCAAAAAAATAATTTTTTTATTAAATGTTAGATATTGCATACAATTTTGTTCACATTTTCTTATAAAACAAAGTGCTGGGACTCTTTCTCGCTATAAGCTCAGCTGCAATGGCTGCCAAGAGTTTTGTACACGTACAAAGAGCATTACTACTACTACTACTACTACTACTACTACTACTACTACTACTACTACTACTACTACTACTAGTAGTAGTAGTAGTAGTAGTAGTAGTAGTAGTAGTCGTAGTAGAAATTAGTACTAGTAGTAGAAACTGCCCATGCATGATCAGGGCCACCAAGTACTTTTTATGATGCTAGGGCATTGTAGCAATTAGGCGCATATAATATAAACATGCATTTTTTTACTGGCATTGCGTTAAAAACTTGAATTAGAATGTATATACATTGAAGAATAGGCAAAAAACCCTTTGAGTAGATTTGGTTTAGAAACCCTAAACTGTTTTCAGAAGTAAAAAATGAATACTACTTTGAACAATGAAAATATCATTCATAAAGTTGTCTTCTATTTCTGCTACAGCATAAAGCTCACAGTGGCTGGTGAACTTTAATTCAGATAAAACTCAACTTTTTTCAGCCAATCGTTATCGCAATAATTTAGACCTTCCTATAATTATGAACGATAATGTACTCAATGAGTCATCTACCTTTTATATTTAAGGATTAACTCTTACTTCTGATCTTTCTTGGAAACCATATATCAAATCTGTTGCAAAATTAGCAACTGCTAAAGTTGTATATCTTTATCGAGCTTTCTTCTGATAAAGTTGCATCTCTTTATTGACACTTTCTTACTCTGAATTCTATTCTCGATCTCTATAAATCTCAAATCCAGCCTTGTATGGAATACTGTTGCTATATCTGGGGCAGATCTTCTAATGATCCCCTTTCTCTTTTAGACAAGGTGCAAAAATGAATTGTAAACATAGTTGGACCTGCTCTTGCAGCCAACCTTCAACCATTTTCACATTGTTGTAATGTTGCTTCTCTTTCTCTTTTCTACAAATACTATAATGGGCACTGCTCTAAAGAGTCTCTTGTATTATCTACTAAAATTCATTCTCGTGTTACTCGTCATTCATGTAAGTCTTATCCTTTTTCTGTTACTGTTCCTAAATGCTCTAAAAACTCTTATTCGTCTAGTTTTTTCCTTTGAACATCAGTTCTTTGGAATTTGCTTCCTTCATCTTGCTTTCATGATTCATATAATTTGTAATCTTCTAAGTCGTCTGTCAATTGTTATCTTGGTCTACAATCTTCATCTTTTCTCTTCCAGTACACTAATTAGTGGTTGCTTGCAGCCTTGTTGGAAGCGAAGATGTTTAAAAAAAAAATAAATAATAATTTTTACAGGTTCTTCATTTTTTAATCAAATTAATAAGTATCTTATTGAATTATTGAAAATCATTGAAAATGACAAAAACTTTGAAGATATTCACTTCAAGCTTATGTTTGTGAAACTCATAGAAAAAAAACTGCATTTCCAGGTTCATTTCATTTTGGCTACCACCATTTGCTTCGCAAAACATACTGTTTCATTACTTAATTGAGTCATCTGCTTATCATAAGTTGATATTTTAGTTAAAGCTAAAGCAACTGCTTTATTGCAGCAGTAATTTTTTTTGGTTGTTATGCAGTAAATTTTGTAACGGCAGTCTGAGCTGAACGTTTGGTTCCTGAAAGCTTATAACGCAAGATCTTCTGTCAAGTGGAACTGCAGCCGAAAACAAAAAGATCTAAGATTTTTATTTATTTAATATAATAAATAATAAAGTTTTAACATAAAAAGTTCAGTGTTGATGGAGGAAAGCAACACCAGTCATTTACATGCTGACGATTGATATTGCAGCAGCGTAAGTAGCATCATAAAAAATCTTTTAAAAGAGTTAACTGTAAGTACATTAACTACATCCTGCGCTATTTTATTTCAACTGTTTGCAACATGGTTTTTAAAAAAGTAGTGATGTTCTGGTAGTCTTTCGTCTTCTGGCTTTTCTAATATCTTGGCACCTGGGGCATGTATGCCTCTTTTGGCCATCCCTCTCGGCAGCCCTGTGCATAGTTTAAAAATTTTCTAAATCTGAATATACTCTGAATAAGTTTAAGAAAATTTAAAAAAAGTTTATTTGAATTATTATAGTTTTTATTATAAACCAATTTAATCTTGCATTTAATAAGTATATTAATTTATTCTTAAAATTTTATATATTTTGTATATTAAAGAAAAAAATAAATTCTCAATAAAAAATTAGCAAATTTTGAAAATCACCCATTGTCACCATTGTTGAAAATTACCCGCCTTCTGCCAGGCCTGGTTAAAACTATTTTATATTGATATAAGGAAATTTAGAGTTTTATAACTATTTTACCGGGCGCAAAAAAAAGAGTTTTACAACTATTTTACCCTGTTAAACTTTTTAAACTGAGTGTGCAACAAAGACAAAATTTAGAAAACTATCAAAATAGTATTATACACTTTTTTGAATTATTTATTTAACTTTCAAAAATCTCTGAAATACCTTTGAATCTCACTATTATTATTATTATTATTATTATTATTATTATTATTATTATTATCATAAATATTATAAATATTGAATATACTTTTATTTGTAAATTCTATGTATATATATAGTTTTATTTCTTAATGTTTTAGTTAACGAAACATGTTCTATTTTGTAGGTGATGTATTAAAATTGTACCTCGACAATCTGTTAATTTTATAAAGCTGAAAATGATCTTATTTTAGATTTAAGTAAGCTGTTATTTATTTTTTAGTGTTTTTGTTTCATTTAGATATTCAAACATGTTTTATATAAATCTAATTATTTAAAACAGTGTTATTGTCTGGTGGTGATGTTTAAGTTAGTTTTTATAATGTTAAATTTACTTTTAAAGAATCTTTCAAATTTACTTCTTTAAAAATTTACTTTTGCTTTTTTTTTTTTTAGTTTTTAATTTAACAACATTTTTTGTACAAAATGTTTAAAAATAGCAATATTTTGGTTGTTATTTTAATTTTATTGCTTATCACATATTGTAGGATTTAAATTCTTATTTATCTTTATCTTCAGTTTTAAAGTTTGTATTTATCTTAATATAATGAAGCTATATATTTATTTGAGGGCTTTTTAAATAAAATGTGTTCGATTTTCTAAATAGTTGTGAAGTTGTAATTTGTATTTTTCTGTCATGGACAATAACACAGATTTCAAATTGAAGGGGAGTCAATTTCTAAAAAAAGTCCTCTGTATCTAAAATAGGCAATTACATTTTTCCTCAATTTCTTAAAGAGAAGGAATTACCCTTACCAAAAGTAAAGTGGCAGAAGTTAGAGTGGGTAGTGGAAAACACTTGACTGCATCTACAAATAGAAGAGTTATTTAAATGATTTTAGTTTAATATGTATATTTTTTATTAATTTTTTAAATTTTGTTTGTAAATAAATTTGTAAAAAATAATTTTTTTTAATTTAATTTCTATATAAACTAATGTTAAGATATGTTTATAATAAAAATTAATGTGAAAAGTTATACATTTTGTTTTTACACTTAACATTATCCAAATTTAAGTCAGCAGAACATGCAAAATATTAAAATGATTTGAGAGCTGCTATGACAGTGTTTACGATTTATGTCAAAATAATATATTGTCATTTAAGGTTTTGTGAATACTTTAAATTGCATTTAATAATTTTCATAATAATCAACAGTTATCACTGAATTATGTATTCATAGGTATCTAATAAGTTCTTACAATATGAAAGAACTTAAAAATTATTTTTTCACTGTGTATGTTCTTTATTGATGTGTCCTTATCTGTTGAAGAAAACATTTTTTTTAATTTAAAGGATCATACTTATTAAAGAATTAACACTTTACTAAATTCCTTTAATTTTTTTTTAATTTTTTGTTTGTTTTTATAACTTTACCTTAATTATTTCATGATTATTTTATTATAATTACTTTTCATGTGGTGGTGGAATGTGTTATTTCATGATTGTGGGGATACTTTTCATGTTTAACTGCAAATATTATGTATTAAAAACAATTTAAATTTAGTTATTATCTAATTTAGTGTTTTACTGACTATCATATGTTTATTTTGTCTACTGTTAAAATATGGTTTTAATTTAGTAAACTTTAACTATTTTAAATTTACTATGTTGATCATTAACTATTAGTTTGAAGATAAATTAGTTAGTCGCAATCAAGGTGAAAATAATTTTACTTTCTGGTTGAATTACAAAATTTGTTTGCACTTATAGCTTTTATGTTTTTGTTATTTTGTGTAATTGACTTCGCAATAAATGCCATTTCTTTCAGATTTTGACTATTTTTAATAATGCTCCAGAAAAAACATCAGCAACAGGTACATTGGTTTGTA